GCAACTCTAAATAAGTGATATTTCTTTTAGTTATTCATTTTCTTTGGTATTGAAAGCACTAGAACATACGACTACAAATATAGAAACATCAATACCCTTTTCTTTAATTAGCAATCTCTTTTTATTAATCACCCCTTTGAACACACTCTCTCAACCCCTCTTTTCATCTTTGATAGAATTGTTTAAGGGTAGAGTATGCAACATCACAAATCAAAATGTAGATCATTTTAAGTTTATATATCACCGTGTCACAAATGGTGATGTGGCTAATAAATCTGATCGAACATATTAAATCCGGTTTTGGTGATCCATTTGATAAATAATGGCGAATGATAAATGAAAAACTCGAGTTATAAAAGGAATGCGAGAAGTAGAGAATAGAATAACAAAAGAATATAAACAATGTTTTTATTGATGTAAAGCTCTTCTGTTATAACAATAATCATCATCTGCGAGAAAACCAAATAAAAAAAATGAATACATAAATATATTACATAATTTCTTTTCATATCAAACTATCGTTTCTGTAGTTTGCATAATGACTGAAAAATGCGGCTATTCAGTTTTCAATCTTTCTTTTATTAGTAGCAATGTTCTTCTCTTTGTCGGGCTTCACAGTAGTAGTTTTAGCATGTATCATAGTGATCTCCAAGTATCCGCTACTGCTAAGACGGAGTTTTTTGGTGGGTGTTTCGGAAAGATTCCTTTGTTGTTCTAGCTCCCCCTCGAAGTAATTGGCCAATCTATCGAAAAGAAATAAAATATTAGCACTCTTAAATATTAATGTAAAAGAAAAAAAATACATACTAATGTATACAGATTAACTTACTTTTTGTTAGTTGTTTGAGAATGTTGATCATTCGAATCGTGGTAAGCTTCGAAATTGACAGTTCCTTGACTTGCAATGTTTTTTCCAGTTGTTTCCATATTTTAGGGATGGGTTCGGTGAATATTACGCCTATTTTGATCTCATCATCGTTATTTTGATCGGCTTGTCCTATCATGAATAAGTGAAGCTAGTGATTTGTAAACAATTTGCATCAAATCAGATTTTTCGAGTACTTTCCTGTACGAGCGCGTCAAAAAAAAGATTCGATACACATCTAAAGCACAGAAACATAATGGCAAAATGGTAAAAGAAAGATTATCGAAATGGTAAAATAATTACTATATTAAAAGAGAAGTGCATTAAATTTATTAGTAAATCTTGAAATTAACTTAGATAAATAAAAAATGAAATTATAAAAATAAAACAAAAACCCCTTTTTCCCAATTGTTGCTTATATTAATCCATCTAAAAAAATTCTATTTTTCAATTATTTTTCACGTCCTTTCACCAAATAATTCCATGTCTCCTGTTCCAACTTCACTCGTGCACCATCAGAAACTCCCAGCACCGGAAAAGTACAAGTGAAGACACCTGCAGTTTTACCTCATCGCAGAATAATGTCTGTCAAAACCATTCCACGAATTACAAGATCATTGAAGAGCCTGTTAGCCTCATCAATAGTAAGTTTTACTGTATCTCGCTCTTCCTGGTAAATCTCCAACTCTTTATACTTGAGCTTAGTATTTTTCGACTTACAGAAAACATCAACAACATCTTTGGCAGTAATCGCATCCGATTCAAATTCCTTGAGAGCTTCTACAACCTTCAACAACCTCAAAGCTGACATTTTCATGTCTCTTGTAATTAATGTTTCTTTTGCTCGTAATTGACATGCATCACATCTTTCGCACGATGGTTCCGATGGCGGTATATTATTCTCTTTCCAATTTTGATAATGGGTAAGAGCACTTTGTCTACATTCAAACTTTGTTTCGCAAAAAAAAATCATCTCCCAAATTTTTTTTTGACATTCCCTTAGGTAGACTTGTCTTATTTCTTCATTCTCCATAACAACATCATTTAGACTACTCTCCCGTTTACCTGCAACAATATTATAAAGGATTCGTACATCTCTTCTTGCATAAAGCAAGATATATTTTGCTGTAGATCCATTACGACCTGCTTTACCGGTCTCTTGGATATAATTGCTTAAATTTTGGGACATTGTATAATACACTACCAAACGAACATCTGGTATGTTTATACCTAACCCAAAGTCATTGATGGCAACCATAACCTTTATATGTTGCTTTTTCCATTTCTCTACAGTACACTTTTTCTCCCCGGTTGGTACTCCACGATGGTAAACACCTACCTTTCCATCTATATCTTCGAGCTTTATTCTCAAAAGATCCGCAATTTCATAACAATCCTTTTGTGTTGCGCAATAGACTATAGCACGTCCAGAAATTGATTTTATCTGTGTAATAATACCTTGGAGATTTTCTTCTATTGAAGTTTTCTTTTTTATAACTTCATATACTAATTCGTTCTGTTTGAATGTTATATCATGAATTATCTCCACGTGTGAAAAATCAAGACCAATTTTTGTCACAATATCTCGCGCATCATCACGAGTCAAAGTTGCTGTCATCATAAGAATTGGGGCTGTAGGATAAATAATTTTTAATTGGGATAAATAACACCATGATTCACTAATATTAAAATAAATTATTCTGATGGTAAGAAACTTTTTTGCATTTCTTTTTCTCATATATGTTATTTATTCTTACCAGAAATGTGCATAATCTTTAATACAATGAACTTCGTCAATTACGAAACGAATTCCTTGGATGTTAGCAATATTCATGAGAAATGTTTGAAATTGAGTATTGCGTTCAAGTTTTTCTGGCATTATATATAAAATACGAATAATCCCTGAAGCAATTTCCGAGAAGACTTGCTCTTGAAAGTCCAGCGATTGATCACCAGATGCGTAAAGTCCAGCACATGGAATTCCAGCAGCAATCATGTCATTCTGCAAAAATATAATATTTAAATTATTTATAAATATTTGGTAAAAAAATCAACATACCACTTGATCATCAATTAAGGACTTCTGAGGACTAATTACTAGAGTTAATCCTAAGCTCAGTAAAGCTGATGCTGCATAACATAGTGACTTTCCACTTCCGGTTCGCATCAACAATAATATATCACTTCCTTGAGTATATACCATGATCGTTTGTTTTTGGACATCGCGGAATGAACTGAAACCAAATACATCTTGTAATACAGAATTAGCTGCATCGTCCAAAGGTCGAGGATTGCATTTATACTTTGACACATCAAAAGACTTATGTGGAATCTGATTTTCAAACCCATTAATGATGTAAAATCGACATATTCGACAGAGTCCCCACGAGCCGCATTTGAAAAAGGAATGACATCCAAGACATTTGGCAGTGGTTTCGAAGTTTTCAATCAATGGTGCAAAAAAAGGTCTAAATTCATGCCGAATAATTCTTTCTTTTACTTTAAGACCATAAGGTATTAATTCCCGACTAAAATCGAATACTTGTAAATTCTTTCGTTGTGCTGCAAATTCTACTGTCCGCTTCTTATTTCGACTTTTCCACTCGACCTGGTTTCGGAGTTTTTGAGTATCTCTCTCTTTTGCCAATTTCTCCAAATTTGCTATATCTTCTCCACTAAACATTTGTCCTCCACAAACACTTCGAATATTTTGTAGCATTTCTATTAACCCGTCATTATTATAAATAATTGCTAAGGCATGCCGTGTTTCATATGATTTCCAAAAATCAAATAATTTATTTGTAAACATTAGCTTGATCCGATTCATAGCTTCATTATGTGCGGTTCGTGCAGATGTTACTAGAGATTGTCCAGCAGGCAGTTTAAAGGTACTTTGAATCATTATTAAAAATTCATCGCATTCTTTCCGAGTAGAATCTTTGAGATTTGGAGTTGGCAAATCTAACTCGGGATTATCTTTATGCCAACAGACTTCACTCCAACATATAGAATGATCATCCATAAGATGCCTAAGAAGTCCTTGACATTGTGTTTCTAGTAGTTCATCATCTGTTGGTGTCTTTAATGCATTATTTGCCTTTCTAAATCCTGCTTCATATACACAGCCATTAAAGTGCCGCATTATTTGTGGTATAAATCTTTCCCATTTATTGTTCTTCTCTATTTAAAAATAATGTTATTCCAGTTCTTTTAACAGTATTTATATAGCAGAAGGTCTTTAACGGGTCTCTTCTTACAGTTATAAG